CCCAATAAGTTACCTAATCAGAAGCTTAGGGTTTACATGTAGCTTTTCTGCAGTATACCAGGTGAATGACCTTGCAAATACATAGGAAAAAAAGGAAACAATATTGTATTATTTATCACCAGGCATGCTACTGCTCAATCCTTTATACACATTATCCCATTTAATTTATTCATGAGGTCGATCATATTTTCGAGATGAATAAACCAAGGCTTAGAAGTTAGGAAGCCTGCTGCAAATCACACAGTTAGCAGTTAGCAGAGGCAGAACAGAGATCTGAACCTATATTCCATTGCAATGTTCAACCGCACAACTCAACCAACCATCTGGTCCCAACTTTTTATTTAAACAACTAAGAGTCGCTTTTATTATAGTTATGCATTGCGTGGGAAAGACACTGTCTACTAAATGTTACATTTTGTTGGTTTGTTTGTTTTTGAGACAGGGTCTTGCTCTACTGCCCAGACTGGAGTGCAGTGGTGTAATCATGGCTCACTGCGGCCTCAACCTCCTGGGCTTGAGCAATCTTCCTGCCTCAGCATCCTGAGTAGCTGGGGCCACAGGTATCTGCCACCATGCCCTGCTAATTTTTTTATATTTTGTAGAGACAAGGTCTCACTATGTTGCTTTCAGGCTCCTGAGCTCAAACAATCCTCCCACCTCAACCTCCCAAAGTGCTGGGATTACAGGCATGAACCACTGTGCCTGGGCAAAAAGTTACATTTTTATCTTTTTATTTATTTTTATTTTATTTATTTATTTATTATGAGATGGAGTTTCACTTTTGTTGCCCAGGCTAGAGTGCAATGGTGTGATCTTGTCTCTTCAACCTCCACCTCCCGGGTTCAACTGATTCTCCTGTCTCAGCCTCCCGGGTAGCTAGGATTACAGGCACATGCCACTACGCCTGGCTAATTTTTGCACTTTTAGTAGAGACGGGGTTTCAACATGTTGGCCAGGCTGTTCTCGAACTCCTGACCTCAGATGATTCACCTGCCTCAGCCTCCCAAAGTGCTGAGATTACAGGCGTGAGCCACTGTGCCCGGCCAAAAGTTACATTTTTAAGTAACAACTTTCCATGGTTATATATGAAAATCCTGTCATCCGGGTTTTAATAGCAAAATTCCTAATCACCAATAAATAGCTGGTATCAGAATAGATTTAAATCTAGCTCAAAGCAAAAAAAAATTATATAATTTATATACGTAAGTAATATATATAAGTAATATATATAAAATATATGTGTGTGTATATATGTTTTATTTGGCTTATTCAACCTTGTCATGGTTAAAAAATAACTTTCACTACACTATTATTTTAAGAACTAACAGAAATGTAGACATTTCTACCTTCCCAGATAACTACGGACCTGGGTCTTGGGATGGGACCACAGCACTGCCCTTTTTCAGCTTCACGTGTTCCCACCTTTGGGATGAGAGTATCATCTCTAGTTCTAGCAGCTGTCTGAATGCAAACAACTCTGCCAGCAACACCACCACATTCACATTCTCAGTGTAACTGTCAAAAGGCACAAGTATAAGTCAGCCCTAAATGACTCTAACATGTCCCATTTTAAGTTAAAACATCTTCTACATTTTAGATTTCAGCCCATGAGGAACATCCCAGGTCACTCTACACACAGGTTGCATCTCTGACTGACACAATGAACATGGGATTGACCTCATGGTGGGATAATAGCAGCCTGATTTCAAAATACGTGTCCACAATCCTTTCTCTCCGGCCAGTGCTCCAGCACGGAATTTGTTGGTGATACTTACATGTCACTATTTTGCACACAAATGTTCAGGTTTACATTTGGCCTTCAAAAGTTAGATTTCACACTAATCCAAATGGAACAATTTAAGATACCTGGTAGCTCATCACCCCCAAGCTCCCAAGGCCTAGCACAGCACCTGGAACGTGTGAACAGGCCCCACACACAGGCTCTTGTGACCTCCAGAGAATCACAAAGAAGCCACCAGGTACCCTGCAAGCAAGGAAAGCCCTGGAGAACCTGCTTCAGGGGAGTGCCGTATTAGCAATTGCTACGCAAGTCCCTTTCGTGCTGAAATACATTTAAGGAACACAGGAAAGCAGACAGTACGTCTTTGACTGCAGATGTCTCGGTACATTCACCCTGCTCTTGGGCACCCAGGAAGCCTTGGTGGTGGAGGATGTGGGCAGGGATGTGGCATCCGTCGTTAGCAAACCCACTGAACCACACAAATCATTTCTGAGTGCATCTCTTGAGATAAATGTTCTTCAGAAGACATTTAGGGAGAGCTGCCCAAACTCCGTTTTTACTCCTGCAGTTCTAACCCCAAACTTAGAAGCAAAATGAGAAAGAACTAGGGCTGCTGACTGCCTACCACATGACTTCACACGTTCTTCCACTTGAACTTCGAGGTAAACTATTTTTACCTCCATTATACAGATGGGGTAAACGAGGCTTGCTCAGGGCAGAAATAGAGCTGGCATTTCAGCTCCAGGACACCTGACTCCAAATACCATGCTTTTCCCTCCAGCCCTGGACTCCTTGAGATAAAGTTACTTCAGCACTTAACTGTAATTTTGTAGTAACTGTTTTTTTTTAAGAGTGCCTCTTTTTAGTCTTAATTTTCTTCCTTCCCATGTCTGCAACCCTCAGAAAAGGACAGTTGCAACTCCTCTGGCCACAGACTCGGGGCTTCTCCCCATGCCCTGCCCCCAGCTCGAGGCGACCTGCAGCCCACACAAAGGCAAAGGCACCACCGAAAAGATCAGGGCACCCCGACACCTCCTCCCTTCTCAATCTTCAACACACAGGTGCTTCCTTCTCTTCACGCTACAGCGAGCTACGGGCAGAGGTGGAACTGTTTTCAACATTTTAAATTTTGGTAAATAGTTGTGAAAAAAAATCACAGCAGCATCACTGTGTTTTGGTGTCCCCAGCAGCCTCTTTCGGAGAACACAGTGCCAGCTTCTTCCTTCACATCCACTGACTTCAGTTAGGCTTCTGGTCTCAGTTCGAGTGGCTTATTTGTTTTTACTACAATTCTCTAGAAATAGAAAACTAAAACAACAATAACAAAAATGAAGGCCTCAGCAAAAAGGCCAGGGAGAAGCAACTATTTCAAGGGTAAGAACACAAGCTGTGGCCTCTGACAGCAGGCAGGCGACTGCTGAGACCGCAAACGTGCCCCCCCACCCCCACCCAACAGGCAGTTTTGGCAGAGGGGGAGCCATTCGATCAGCTGGGAAGATGTCCTTTCAGGCAAGAGGAGGTGATTTTGTGTAAAGCTGATTATTGAGTTCATCTTGATGGGTTCTACCGTCCTAACCCATCTAGAAATGACGATAAGCCCCACTCACGGTGCTAACAGGACGGAGATCAATCTCCCTTCTATCCTTCTCCAGCTCAGAAACATGTCAAAAGCAACTTCCTTTCCTCCAGGTTGGAGCTGTCTTCCTGGCGCTTTAATGAGGCACATTTCTTGGATGGCAACTACAGTACTGAGATCAATACACTTCATTTCAAACCGTGAACTTTTACTGATCAGCTCTTCTGGGTCCTGCACTGAACTAGGTGCTAGGTGGACAGAGAATGGGCCAGAAATTCTTCTGCCCTTAAGAAAGACTGAATCTAGCATAAACAAGAAACAGAAGACATAGACATAAATGTCTGTCAAGCTCCCTCTCCTTATCTATAAAACAAAGATAAAAATATTTGCTGTGCCTACATACCAAGGACATCATGAGGCACAAATGAAATAAAGTCTGAAAGCTATGCAAGAAAGATGAACGCGTCAGTGACTGTTCGAGTGACAGATTATAATCCAGGCATTTGAAAAACCCACAGGGAAGCCGTCTACACCATCCACATAGAACAGCAGTTAAATTCAGAAGCAACTTCTTTTTTTGAAGACAGTTTTTCATTTTTCTTCTCTGTACTTTTTAAAATGATAAACATTGTGTTTTATTTTTCAGCTTTATTCAGTTATAATTGATAAAGACTGCCATTTTATACTAAAAGTGAACAATGTGAAGTTTTGATATACATTTTTTGTATGCTACACTGTAAAACCATCAAGCTAATTAAATATCCATCATCTCACATAGTTACCAATTTGTGTGTGTATAGTGAGAATACTTAAGATCTATCCTCACAGAAGATTTCAAGTATGCAAAACAGCATGATTAACTATAATTATCATGCCGTACATTAGGTTTCTAGAACTTATTCAACCCATATAACTGCAACTTCACACCCTTTGACCTACGTCTCCCCATTCCCTGCAGACCCCGGGCAACTACCGTCCTACTTCCAGCTTCTATGCCTCATTTTCTTTTCTCATTCCTCAAATGGACAGAAAAAACATGCAAAATTCAATGAGATTAACTATGAGTAAACCTCACACACTCATTTATCTTTTCCAATAGATAAAATCTGGGGTTTGAGTTTGACCCACACCCCAAATTCTTGACTTAGAAGTCCCCACATTCATTAAGCCCCGAAGGATCATCTGGCCCCAAAAGAATGTTGGCTACATCATAATAAATATTAAATGTGATTTTAAAATATCTATATTCTAGTTTAGCACTAAGCCAGGGAAAGATGACACTGAGGACGGAATATTCTAACTACAGACAATCACTAGGTTAGCACTGCCGTAACTTCAGACATGTGACTATCAAAATACATTTGATATAAGGTGTGGAAGCTTTTGCTGTGTAGCAAGGAGAATATGCGCTATGTTAAGTTTTGTGAACTGTTATCACGAGCTTCTAAAATTCTGTTTAACCGATTGCTTTTGCACCACAAGCAACTGTAATGGAAATCTTCCACTCTGGGAGTCTGCCTGACGAACAGAATAATTCTTCCAAGAACTGTGTGAAGGCCTCAACAAGAAGACTCCACTGTCAGGCAGAATTTAGTCCAAAGGTTTGCCTAGTGTCTCTGCAAACGAAAGCAAAAAGCTCATCCTAAAATCAATGCAACATGTATTTTATCCAAAAAGACCAACCAGAGTACAGAAGATGCATTGGCACTGGGCTATGGTTGTCATCTGCTCCACTGGGTACTCCCCAAGACAGAGCTTGCAAGACACCAGCGGGTCGAGGGCCAGGTCCCAGGTGGGCCGGTACCTTGCTGTGGTCATCGCAGAACAGTCTGAAACGAGAGAAGCATGGAAGGTCAGACCTCCCCACCCCTGGCATCCACCTGCTCCGTGGCAGGGGTCACATCTCCTGGCTGTAGCTGGGACCCAGGGCGGTGGCCAACTGACTGCTGGTGGGGCGTAGAGCATTTGGATGCTCCGAGAATTTTTTTTTTTTTTTTTTTTTTTGAGATGAAATCTCACTCTGTCGCCCAGGTGGGAGTACAGTGGTGCGATCTCAGCTCACTGCAACCTCTGCCTCCTGGGTTCAAGCGATTCTCTTTCCTCAGCCTCCCAAGTAGCTGGGTGGCAAGTGCCACCACGCCAGGCTAATTTTGTTTTTTTAGTAGAGATGGGGTTTCACCATGTTAGCCAGGATGGTCTCAATCTCCTGACCTCCTGATCCGCCCACGTCGGCCTGCCAAGCTCTGAGAAATTTTAACCAGGGGTGCCTGCCTTGGGTCTGTGAGTGGCTCCCTTACCATTCTGATAGTAACTTTCATGTCTGCCCTCAAAATGGCAAAGAACTCACCCACACACCCATCCTTCTCTCCCTCCCACTGATGTGCATTTTATTAAGACATCTGCCAACCAGGCTGCTAACCCAGGAGGGCAAAACCTCAGCCATCTTGGAAAAGAAGCTTTTGCTAAAATACGTATTGCTTGGATTTAACTGTTCTCCAGTGTTAAAGACGTTGTGAATATCAGGACAAGCCCGGGTGGAAGGGTCAGAGCAGGAGGGCTTGGTTGGGGTTGTGAGGTCTGAGTTTTCAGGGCAGCTGGAAAGGAGATAGACATCCAACAGAAGGAAGAAATGTCGTAGCATCTTTCACCAGAAGACAGGGCACAAGGGCCCCCTGGAGGGGCAGAACCAATGCTGTGCTTTGTGATCAGAGAGAACTCCATTTCCAAACTCCCTCTGCCCACAAGCAGCACGGTTCCCTAACCATTCTCAGCCTCAGCTGGCTCATCCACACGATGGGGCTGATAATCCCCTCTCACAGAGGTGTTCTGAGGATGATGCGAGATCATAAAAGGGGTCAGCTGCACACAGCAAGTGCTCAGGAAAATCCCTTCCTCCCTGTGATGGTTAATACTGAGTGCCAACTTGATTGGACTGAAGGATGCAAAGTCTTGTTCCTGGTGTGTCTGCGAGGGTGTTGCCAGAGGAGATGAACATTTGAGTCAGTGGACTGGGAGAGGCAGACCCACCTCAGCCAGGGTGGGCACGAGCTAATCAGCTGCCAGAGCAGCCAGAATGAAAAGCAGGCAGGAAAACGTGGAAAGACTAGACTGGCTGAATCTTCTGGCCTCCGTTGTTCTCCTGTGCGGGGCTTTCTGCCCTCGAACATCAGACTCCAAGTTCTTCAGCTCTGGCACTCCTGGACCTTCGACCACAGACTGAAGGCTGCACTGTCAGTTCCCTACTTTTGAGGTTTTGGGACTTGGACTGGCTTCCTTGCTCCTCAGCTTGCAGATGGCCTACTGGGGGGCCTTACCTTGTGATCGTGTGAGTCAACACTGCCTAATAAACTCCCCTTTACATAAACATCTATCTAATTAGTTCTGCCCCTCTAGAGGACCCCAACAAATCCACTCCCCTCCCCTGTGATGTCTCCTTCAGCCATTGCTTAGCAGTCAGAGAATGTGAAGATGCCGCTGCACGCCGCAGGGAGGTGTGGGACTTACTGTCATTCGAGGAGCTTATTCCCAGGGTCAAGGAGCTGTCCTAACTTAAAACAAAAAAAAAATTTATCATCCCTGTCTCAAGTTTTGTGACTCACACCCCACTGGGTGTCACTGAGCGAATATTTCATTAGGAAAACCCACCTGGTGAATTCTGCATGGAAGGAGAAGGGAGAATTCACCCATCTGGTGAATTCTATATGGAGGGAGAATTCTACCAGGAGGAGAAGACACGTCTGGCCCAGAAGGAAGCGCCTGCAGGACCCTGAAAGCTCACCCAGCAGATGGGACCCAGTGAGACAGGAGGAAGGATATGAGAGGCAGAAATGAGCCAGATCCAGGGAGGAGACCCTGACTATCAGAGCTCAAGCAACTGAGGGGGTGACTGAAGGCCACCTGGGATCTGCACTGGGAATCTGCGCAGGCCTTCGGCGTCTGGGGCAGGAGTGGGCTGCAGTCGGAGGGGCCTCTTCCAAGGGCAGTTGATGCCTGCGAGTCACTCAGTCTAAAACACATGTGTCTCCCTCGTTACAAAAGGACTCTTTGGCACAAATTCCTCTGGACTGGCGAGCACTTTCAAGATAGTTTAAACAGGCATCCTGATTTGACCTCAAGCTGGTGGGTCCTGAGGAGTGAGATAATTGGAAGCGTCACACAGCTCTCTGCGGCTGCAGGGGGTACAGACATCAAGGCGTCCTCCCCAAGGTCATTTTCATTTGGATCATTTCTCTACACCTTGAATTTTATGACTACGCTTATGCTTATGATTGCCACCGTTTTAAAACTCTCATGGGTTTTTCTGGGTCCTAAGCTGACGGGCCATGACATTTTTCTTTTTATTTCTCTGTATCTTTTTTTCTGTTTTAATACTTAATAATTTTTTTAAGTAATATCTCTTAAAGTTCACTGGACAACGTGATAATTATATTTTAAAATGTCAGCTGGCCCTAAATTGGACGACAAACCTTAACCCCAGGCACTGAGGCTTGGGGCAGGTGGCAGAAATCTGTCAGGGCTGGAAAAGTTTCAAGGGGGCAGTGGCTGGCAATTGGCTCCTCTGGCCTGGAGATTTGGGGAGAGCTTGTTTTTGACAATGTTGAAAAAGCACAGGGTACGAGTTCTGTCAGGCTGTTGGGGAGGTTGTAGGATACAGGGTTCACGCTTTTCAATCAAGCAGACCTGGCTTCAAATTCCCTTTTTTTTTTTTTTTTTATGGCCACTTGGTTATGTGACGTTGAAGAAATTACATAACTTAAATTTAACGTCTATGAACTTAATTCTTGTTTTTGTTTTGTTTTGTTTTTTCCCTCGGTAAAGCCTATATAACCATCACCACCCATGTAGACTTTGGAAGAATGAGTGAGAAGTAATATATTTACAAGTTCCTGGGAGATACTAGGAGCTTGGTAAGTGGAAGTCATTACAACAGGTCAGGTTAACAAGCTTAGACTTTAACCTACACAGACGAAATGGATAAAACAAGTTGTTGGGCAGAGATATCATATGGTAAAATTAGTCATTTAGGAAGTTCAATCCAATGGAGAAAATGTTTAGAAGAATCAAACCTCAAAACCTCCTAAAGCCTCCTCCCTTATTGTCAGCCATGCAGTATGCTCCCAGCCTGGACATCACCGAGAACGCATTCCCCAAGGGCAGAGCTTAATCGCTCCACAGAGGACCCTTGAATCCCCGCCTCCACCCTGCGTCAACAGTTCCCTGTCCCACAAGCCAGTTACAGCCTCTGTCCTGGACCTCTGCCCTGCCCCATCATGCTTGGTCCCAAGACAATTCTCTTTCCTTCCAGCTTCAGATCTGGGCTCCTTTTCCTGTTTACAGCCTCTCTGTTGTGACCCCCCCGGCACGGCGTACAGGGCTCCATCTGTCTGATTTCCTTTCTGCCTGGACCATGATTTCTATTTGGCCCCCAGTGGCTTCCCCTGCCCTGGGCACAGGTCATCCCGTGGCCCTCACCTCCCATTTCCCCCACCAGCCCTGTGAGCTGGATTTGAAGCAGGTCACATCACCATTTCCAGGAATCACATCACTATTCTTTCCCCAACAGAATACACAGTCTCTCAGTTGTGCTCAAAATCGTGATTCAAATGGTGACAACAGGATATATTTCACAGAAAAAAAAAAAAAAAGGTCTATATTGTCTAAACCCATCATGGACCTTCCCTACACACAGGATGGCCTTAATATGATTTTGCAAACAGTGAACAGCTGCGAACTTGCAATTAGATTGTGCTAAGAGAATCACAATGCACAATAAAAGAAAGCAGAGTCTTTGTTTTCCTAATGTGAATGTCAAGTCATATGAAATGGCAAACTGTTTTAGGAACATCTGGTCAATTATAAGTATTATTCAATTTAAGCAATTCAAATCTGTATAAGGCAATTTACTTATTAAGCATAACTGAGGCTGTGCAAAGGATTGTGCCTTGGGATGAAAGAGGTGTGGACACAAGGATGAGAGAGAGCTGGAAGAGAAAATAGTCCATTGTGGAGAGATTCGGCAGATTCATGTAAGGTCCAAGGTGGTTCTTTGGCCAAAACTATCCCATGTCTGAGCCCCAGGGCTATGGACCTCTGTAGGCCCCTATTCTTCCCACCTTTACTCCTTCAAAGCAAAACTGGGAAAGATAGGCAGCCGCCAGCCAGTCGTCATCCACCTCTTACTTTCGTGCCTTCCTCCAGCAAGTCCCTGCTCTCCTCCAGTTGCCTGGGACACTCTCATGTTTCCTCCACAGCCTAACTCCCTTTTCCTTCCTTACCCCTTCTCCACATCCTGCAAACCCTTCACACCCAGCATCAGTCCTGGTGCTGGGTGACATCCCCTCTGATTTCCCACATCTCTCAGCTGTCTCCCCTTTCTCTGGGTCTCTGCTGTGTGTGGTCCATGAGGCTTCTTGAGCAGTGCTCTCTGAACAGCAGCATCAGCATCACCTGAGAACTTGCTGGCTCCAACCCAGACTCATTAAAACAGAAACTCCGGGGAGGTGGGTGGGGCGGCACAGTGATCCGTTTCCATGAGCCTGGCGGGGACTGTGATGCACAATGAAGCCCCAGAACCACTGGTCTGTATCATTCCACTCAACAGCATTTCCACCCAAGTCCGTCTGACTCAAGTCTGTGTGGGCTGAAGCCCACCAAGTGCACCATACTTCAACAATACCAACACTCAGCTGTCATGTCTACAAGGCCCTGGGCCAGACTCTCACAGTAACTCTCATTTCTTCTGGGTAAGTGTGGCTTTGGAAGTCTACCAGCTCACCAGTCTTTCTGGGTAAGTGTGGCTTTCAAAGTCTGACAGATGTGGGAATTTATC